GATAGCCGAGCATCTGTTTCAGGTCTCTGCCTGGTTTCTGACTGGCATTGCCTGTGGGTAATACAACTAAGTGAGGAATACGGCATTAACCTCTCTCCTGGTCTTGGATCAATTGTCCTTGACAGATCAATCAACTCCATCTCCCACTTCATCTCAGATGAATGAATCGGGGTCTTGATGATCTAAAGTGATTGATGGGTTAAAATAAACCAGCTGACAGTTTTTTCCAGTTTGTTAAAGTCATTGTCTTGAGGGGGAGCTTTTTCAGAGGATTTCAGAGACTTGAAACTTTTAAGCCTGGCTGCTTGAACTTCTTGAACTGAGACCGTTCTTTGTCCCTTACGTTGACTGAAAGGGAAAAATTAAGACCGACCTCAGAAATGTATAAAATTCTAAGGTTTTGGAAAAGATGGCAAAACCAAATCAACAAAGCAAAGACGACATTTCAAACAGCCGTACTTTATAATTTCTAAATTTCAAATTGTGTGACTTCACACATTCGTCAGATGTCCGTCAAATAATGTCGTATTGATTTAGGGGCTTTGAAGAAGCAAAGTGTTAAACTCCTTCAGCTTGCAGAGCACTTTCTTTCTGTTACAAACGTTTTCCTTGAGTTGACGACTTCCCATTGAAGAAAGAGAAATAGTCGACAAATTCAAAATGTCACTGTGGAGTACTGTTCCTTGACATTAAACACCAGCATCACCTCGGCTTTCTCTGGCATTAAAACTCCATATGAAATAAAATCAAACTGAAATACAGACCTTTCGGCTGTGGCACCAAAAAAATAATAGTCGCACAAGTCCACTCTTCTTCTCCATTTGTCCTTATCAAGATTGTTCTTATCACAGGCCTCTCAGACTTTGGTGATTACGCTTTGGTTTTCAACACCACCTCTATTGTTGCTTAGGCTGCATGTCTTTACTTCATTAATTTAGGAAACAAATTAGGCTTATCGCTATCAAGTTCATCACTTTTTATGACCGCATCATTATACTGGAAGAGCCTCTGATTGTGGGGGGATCAAGGTGTTTCCTGACTATTACAGTCTTAATGGCTGTTCGGGATATACTGCTTAGTAAGAGAGTATTATATTGCCTTTGCAAATACTCATCTCCAATGAAACGGACATATACCAGCTTTATTTGAAAACTCAAGTCCAGATGTGTGTATATTGAGAACACATACACACTCTTATTCTCGAGCATAAGCTTATTAAGAAAACATTACAACTTTTGACCAATGCACTGTCCAAAATGAGCTGCAAAGCCATTCCTCACTGAGCGACTCCATGACACTTCAGTGCTTCTCGCTGCGCCTAAAGGATGAGCTTAGCATGAGGGATTCGGTCATTTAACGGTCACTCCTGAGTCATCCTGCGGTCAGATCGGTCTCACTTAAGTTGTTTGCATACATTCCTGCTCGGCAAATCTCACACGCGACACTCCAGGCGTGCTTCTGGTCATGCAAAAACAACCCCGCTCATTTATTTTGAAGGGTAGCTGTGGAGTTCTGGTCTTGAAATGATACTCTGAAACATTTTCTTTTTCCTTCTTTTATAACACCTCACAGTAGTATTAAATTACTGCTTTTTACTGTACATAAGGGGAGGCTGATTCCCTGCTATTAGAGCCAAACTACATGTGGGACTCAAAAGTAGACACTTGGAGAGCTGCTGCAATGCTATGAAATTTGACAACACATTCATGCAAGAAAGCAAATGATTTCTTTGGCTCACTGCTTTGAAAATAGTATGAAAACCACTGCTTTAAGAAGACTTTTCAAGTTGTTTTCTGATTTATATCCACCATTTAAATGGAGTTACAAGACACTATATAAGAAAACCACTAGCTTAGTTTTCTGCCAGCTCTTTATCTTGTTTTTCTTCTTTTTTTTTTTAAGTCAAGCAATCCTGATAAAATAGAACAAGTGTATTTTCATCAGAAAATCACTCTTACGATGCAGCAAAAAAAGGAAAAGAAATCCATGGTTGGCAAACTCAGTTTGTTTACTGGTTGAGTCGAGTACAATCACAGCCCGAGAAGCCGTTTAGCTGGAATACTGTCCTTGTCCCAGTTTACCTGTTTACCACTGTGGAAAAATTGAATTATTGGCATAGACTTGTCTGCCTCCACTACAGTAGGTGGTGATATGCTGCTTTTTCAGCTTAGTACTTTCAGGTTGTCTCTTGGTTGACTGACTATGTATCAAACAGTCGGTGAATGCATCAAATGGACAAAGAGATTATATATCAAACAATCACAACATTGTCATTTTTACGGTACTTTACTGTTTTTATGTATGATCGGAAAGTTTGGTCTTTTTTAATGTCATTTCTTCATTTGCTGCCCTACTTCCTTGTAACGCATCCATTCAATTTAACTCCCACTTAGGCCAGTTTTGGTTTGATTGAGTCATATACATGACAGAGAAAATTGATCAGTTGCATTATTCAGGTATGTTAGTCTGACTATGAGAAGTTTGAGTTGTGATTTCAGATGGATTAAAGTGTAAACATTATATGTAAAAGTCCAATTTCAATCAGATTAAGGCAATGAATTGATATATTTTTTAAATAAATATGTTTATGTCAGTGAATAAGTGAGTAGGAAGTAATTAGTTAAACAATCTCAAAGACTGTACAGTTAGAATTAGGGCTGCACAATTAATCAATTTTAAATCGTAATCGGATTATTTGATCATGACAATGTTGGAAAAATTTAAATCATCAAAATGATTTTCCTCTCTGTCATGTCTCGCGCCTCCTTACTGTGGAAGCGTACCCCAGTTCCCACACACACCAGTGTAAACAAACATGGCGTTTGCAAAAGAAGGCGATAATTTCGTGGCTAAATAGGGTGAGAGCAAATCAGTCGTGTGGAATTGGGACGGCTTCACAGTTTCGGATGAAGAGCAAACCACTCCCCGCTGCAAAGTCTGTCTGAAGGCGGTATCAACCCGCCCAAAAGTTTTTTGTCGTCCACATGGAAATGGTGTTTCAGGTGACTGTAAACGGTACTTTCTGAAAACAGGTGCATAAATCCTAAAAACAACTACCATTTAATCTCTGTGTGGATGCCTAACTGCATCTCTTGAAACAATTATGTGACAGACAGCGTAACTCTTTTATGGCGCCTGCATGTTTTGGGCCAAAACAACTTTTACACACATGCTCTGTACTCTTCTTCTGTTTTTTATGTATGTCCTCGGCAGCGTTACAGCGCCACTTATTGGTTTGGCATATGCACTACACCATTTTCAGTGGTTTCATTTTGCAAGATGATAGAAAAACTTTTTGACAAAGTGAAGTTTGGTGAAGTTGTCACTGAATGAAAAAATGAGATTGAAAATCGAGTTTTCAGAGTATCGTGCAGCCCTAGTTAGAATGAGCATTGGGACCATTACCCATTAAGGTGTGTTCAGATCAAGTGTCCTTCAGAGAAACACCCTCAGCCATCATTCTTCTGGATTACTTAAATAAATGTGGTAAATGTTGAAGATGTAAGAAACTTTCTTTCTAGGAAAGTCTAGCACTGACTTCAAAGTCACCCTGGCAGTAATGGTCGAGTGATTAACTTTCCAGACTCAAACTTCCTCACGTGGTCCAGGGACGTGGACTTCGTGTTAAATCTCTTATCTCTCCAAACACTCTACTTGTCTTACTTGTTCTTTTCTGTACTATATCATTTATGATCACAAAGGAAAAATGAATCAGATCAATGAATAATATGAATACAAATCCTTCTATTATTTCTCTTTCTGCTGTTGAAGTCCATTTGCATTTATAGAGATGTCGAAGGCCTTGGTAACAGAGAAATGTCTTCCTGGTTACTGAACCTTGTTTTGCTGAAATATTTCTAACCATGAGTTCTCACCTTTCTCTAGCACCCTTTACCCGCCCTGAGGTGGCTGTCAACCTGCACCCATCATGCACCTGAACAGCTCAGCGGACAGAGGAGTTAAATGCCAGGCTCTGTTGAAGGCCATCAGCTGTGAACATGCATGCCCGCTGAAACATCCGAGCGTTGTGCTGTGCAGGTAGGACAGGAAATTGCATTATTGATTGTGTTTGAGGTATATGCAAAGCAAAGCAAGGAACCTCTTTTGATCTCATATAGACGCTGCGTCGCTCGCAATCTCCCCTCAGATTCAGTCATGTGCACAAAGCACCGTGAGGCAAGAGCCACAAATTTCTCCTTGATCACGTCTCCCTTTTATCTTCCTCCCCCTTTTTCCTTTTCTCTTTCTATTTAGAAGATACTGCCCAAGGTAGAGTTGTTTCGTTATTTGTCTTCCTCTGTCGTTGCAAAGGAAGAGGAGGCAAAGGGACAAGAGAGAGGGGGAGAAAAGCCATTATGATTCCTCTGGTAATTGCAGAACGATTGAAAATTGAACTGGGGGAATTTGCAGCCAATTAACTGTATATTCATAAGGTGCTCTTATCGCCCGAATTGAATTTACATGCAGGAGGATGTGGCATGTGTCGGAAGACGGGGCATAATTGCAAAGCACGGCCAAGTGAGTTATGCAAATGGTGCTCATTTCCCCACAAATTTCAAGTGACTTAGCCCCTACCCATATTCATACAATGCCGTAATAACTTAAACATAAGGTAGCACGGCTTTAATTGCTGTGTTAGATTAAAGTTTCCAGTGCTTAGGTGCAAGAAATTAATGCCCCTGAAGGCAACAGCAGTCGAGAGAGGAAACTGAGAATAAACAAGAGAGCAGTCAAAAAGAGCGGGTTTGATTTTTCTAACTTCTTATTGAGGAGGCCAGTGTGATCCAGTTTTGACTGAACTTTTTAGCGAGAAGCCACATCTGCTTACCATAAACAACATTGTCTCCTTATGGAGTCATTTCCAATTGATTCTTAAAGGGATATTCTGTCCTAAAATTAAGTTATGGTCAAACACACAGGAACACCGAGTTAGACATCCCCTTGAAGGATGAATGTCGCAGACCACTTGCTTCTCTAGTTATACCAACCAGTGTCTTTTTGGTTGAGGTTTACGCGTGGGGGCGTAGACCGCTGTGTTTTGCTATTGTGCGGTCGTTACTAAAGTTGGTATGACGAGAGAAGCAAACAGTCTGCAACAATCATCTCTTGAGTGGGTGTCTAACTCCGTGTTACATGTGTTTGACCCTAAATTAATTTTACACCGGAATATCCCTTTAAGTGTCTGTATCGTGTTTTGATCCAGCTTCCTTTTATCACCGCATGTTAACATTAGCCTAAACCTCTGCTCCTGCGCCGCAGGTGAGAACTGGTGCATAATCTCCTAGAAAATGATGTTTGATGTCCTTCTTCTTTTTTATTTCAACAACACAGACAGTAACTAGCGCTGTTGTGTTTTATGCAAAAGTCTATTAAACAACCCATGAATGTATTTATTGATTTTTATTCATGTAGCATCACTTTGCAATGAGTTACCTTGCTGTGCTGTGCAGAAAGGACTCTTTGTTGTGGTATTTAAAGCAAACCATCATAAACCCTTCGATTTCTATGCAGCTGCTGCGGATGCCAGCTGTAAAATCATAGATGTATGGCGTCAGAATGTGATTAATCTGGGTTATTTTGGCAGCCCTGATGAAAATAATGCAATACAAACTCATAGGTTTAAGTTTGCACATGTGTTGTTTTAAAGTCATTACGTTAAATGGAATAAATTGAGTTTACTTGTTATTTTACACACATTTGTGTCTTTAGAGTAAGATGAGGAACAGCAGGAACACCTGTGGCCCCGTGTAGCCGCCGTGATTGTGTAAACCTGAGCGCGCATCTGTGTATTTTACCCACATATGCTGCAGTGAAGAGATCAGGCTTATCCGTTGTGACAGTCACTTTTAAGTCCTTTTCGAAACTGGGTGGTTCAATTTACCACCCTGGCCCCCGACAGCCCCTGTGCCCTGCTCCAGCTGCTCACACACACACACACTCCTTTGATAGGCTGTTGGACAAACCATTGACCTTCACTTTGCAATCTCTGAGGTCGATCAGTAGGCCATTCTTCCATGTAATGTTTACATCTCTGCGGCCTATTTGGCCACAATGGGGGAGATTGCCTTTGGTCAACAACCTGTGTCCACAATGGCCATTTTGCCAGGCTTGGCTCAGAGGGGGGGAGGCCATCACAGCAGCACAGCACTGTGTCTCTTTTTTTTTTCGACTTATTGAAAAGAGTTAGATTAGGTTGGAGGGGACGAATCAAAGGCAGATTCTCTCTGATAAACTTTCTTTTTTTTCTAAATCTCCAATATAACATCATCTGTGGGTCACTTTAGGACGCTGTCCTCATGAAAACTTAAGTCAGGGCTCTAAAAGACTGGAAATTTTCATACCAGCACAAGACCTGAATGGGGCCTTATTGTATTGAGTGTATAAATTCATATGAGAAAAGAAATCTCACGACTAAATCTTGTGCTTTTGAGTAGTTTGGCTGAATAAAAATATGATTTAATTAGCTGAATTCATGACGATTAACATAACTGGTTATTTTTAATTGCAGTGCGTGTCGAGCAGTAAAAAAGCAACTTCTTCCTCAGCATGTTGGGGCTTTTTTTTAGTCTGTTTAACGCTCTAAAGAACAATTTTAATCAGATATTTCTGGTGTTTTATTAGATGTCTGAGGGTAATAACTGAGATAAGCAGCTTTAAAGCCATCGAGTCACTGAAGGCTGACACTGGAGACTTCTGGAAACTCCAAAAACTGTTTTTTTTTCTCTAACTAGGACTATTTTTGTTTTATTTTTTCACTATCCAAAGAGATATTAAAACAGATGCGCTGTCCTTCTCTGCCTTTGCTTTTGTCAAAAACAAAGTAAGGAAATCAGAGTGCTTTGTATGAAACTCGTAGGAGTTAAGCACTAAAGGGAACACTGAAACCCATTCTGTGATCTGAGGATGCATGAATCAAGAATCTGAAACACTCAGATGCCCACAAGTTTCACCCACTTTGAGGAATTATTAATGAGCTCTCACTTCCACTTTTGGAAAAGGCAGTCCTGATCAAAACCCAATTTGCATCTGCTTGACGATAGTGAAAATTGTAACAGGCTTAATTTATAATCTCTGAATTTTCCTCTAATTTGGCTAAGATTAGGTGTAAATCTTCGAGCACTTCTGTTCTGTTGTTTATGTCGAATCCCTCGAAATCCTCTCAAATCTATTTGTTCCGCTTTTATGATTGTAAATCTAAAAACTAACAGTCCTAATCAGACCTGATAATGCCGTCATTTGAGGCTACGGTACTCCTCTGCTGATGTGAAGACGTTTACACTTAAGTGAGCCGCCAACATGCGAGTCATGAAATAGCAAATTTCTGTTCCCTCAAAGGACCGCAAAGATGCAAAATGGAAATATGCGCATGGCAGCATCTGTGTGTATGTGTGTGTGTGTGTGTGTATGTGTGTGTGTGCTGTATGAGATTAGTGAATCTATAAATCTGTGTGTGTGTGTGTGTTAGAGGTGACAGTCTGCCTGTAGATCCACAGGGACTGAGCTGTGAGCAGGTGCACCGCTCAGTCCTGCAGCCATGCCAGGACACACAGCCTCACCGTGCCAGAGATGTCCGGCTTTCATCCTCCCCCCCTTACCTCTCCATCTCCCTCTGTCTCACCCTGTCTTTTCTCACTCCTCCCTCCCCGAACTTCCAAACGTCTCTCTTGCTTCCTAATTTGCCTCCTGTCTTGCTTGTTTTCCCTTTCCTTCTCTTCACTTCCTGGTTCCTTTCACCTCTTTTTGCCCTCAACCAAAAAAAAAAAACCCACTCACATCCTTCTCATATCCCTTGTAGTAATGCTGTTTGAGTCATCATTTATGAGACTTTGAAGCTTTCTCAAATCCTTAAGGCTATAATGTTTTTGCACTAGATGAAAAAAAGAAAGAAACAGTGACTTTAAATTGATTTAGACTCATTTGTTTTGGGGGATTATCTATTTGCACACCATCCTACAGCGAAGTCAGGGCACAACGTGGATGATTAAAATCTGTATACCTGGGAAAGCACAAAGATGATTATGGTATTTTAACTGCAGTTGTCACAAACAGTTTCCTCTGTTCGATTTCTTTTATGTGAACTCCCAATCAAACTTGAGTGTCTTGATTTATATGAAGACATGTAAGCTGATGCAGTGTTGTTCTGGATGCTTAAGAAAATAATTCGGTATAAGGGGATAATTCCTGCAAAAACACTCATTAATAAAGAGGCTGCGATATTTTAGCTCGCTGGTATTTATTCCAATTTCTTTTCTATTTATGTTTTATTTGTTTGCTGTTCCTGAAATATAAATATTTATAAAGTATTTTTATATAAAAGCAAAAGTCCCTAATGTGAATTTCTAAGCAGTACACACTTCTAGTTTCTCTTATTCAATGATGAAGACTAAGGTTTTGTTGTTTTTGTCCTTTTTTTCCCTTAATTTAAGGCTCATTTCATTTCAAGCAAGGGCCAATATGTGTGTTTATCCACATACAGTACATGTTCAATAGGGTGACCATACATCCTTTTTTACCCGGACATGTCCTCTTTTTGGGGCTGTCCGGGCTTGTCTGGCTTTGTCTGGGGAAGTTTATAAAATCCTTTGAATGTCTGATACACAGCTGAACAGTTCAGGATTCAGTTCAGATTAAAGCTTCTGAGACCCGGAGACAAGAATGTTTGGCTGTGTTGCTTTAGCAAACAGGTTTGTAAAAATGAACTTTTTTATAAGTCATGATGTTTTAAGTGTACTGTCCTATAGTATGCTATTTACCAGGTCTACCCTGTAAATTGGGGTCAGTGAGTGATTCGTTCACTGAACGATTAGAAGAATTCACACTGAACATGCACCGTTTAAACCGATGCAATGGTAGGATGCTGTGGGTTTAATGCACTACTTGTTACACGCTGTGTCCTATTGTATGCAAGTTGTTGTGGTGGCAATTTAGCACTGAAAAAAAAGGTAGTTTTGTCCGACAAAAATGATTCCAGAGAGTGTAGTTCAATGTGTGATTCCTTCACCAAGCTCAACTGAAGTGAGAAACGAACAAATCACTCGAGGAAGAGATTCGGTTCAGTACGTTCACTTAAAAGATTTGATTCTTTTGAACAAATCATTTGCAAACGACACAACACTATTTTGTACAGAAGCTTTGAGTTTGTGTCGTGTGGACTTACTGAGTTAGAAGCGTGTAAAAGACACTCGACCCGACCCGAAACACTCTCAAAATTAACTTAGTGCGACTCCGTGACTTCCCCCCACATAGGTGTGTCCTCTTTTTGGGAAGTCAGAATATGGAAGTCACCCTAATGCTCAAATGCTGTCCCGTTTAGAAACAGTTGAAGTAGAAGTCGAGTCTGCTGCTAAACTGATTGGCATGTTTTTTTGTTTTTTTTTTAAACTTGGAACAACTGGGGACAAAACACAGTGAATTTATTAGACTAGTTAAAGTACACATATGTGTCGAAACAAACAGCTGTTGAAGCTGGATGACAGCTGGTCCAGGTGATCAACACATGCTGGTGTTGCTTTATGTGACGCTCTGGAGGAAAGGAGGTCCCCAGTCCCTCAAAACAAATTCCATCGTTCACTCTCTCCTTCTCTCCAGTGTTTGAGACCAAGACTTGAGCGAACAGAGCAAGTGAGGGACGCGGGTGTGGAGTTTAATGGTTTTGAGACGAAGCCAGTTGATGGTGTTGCTGTTAGCATGCTAGAGGCAATGTTAGCAAACAAAGTGATTCAGCCACTCAATTCAAGATGTCTGCTGAGTTAAAATTCCAATTAAATTTGGGTGGTTTGCAGGTATTTTCGACTCTAGTAGTCACCAGCTGTGATCCCCTGCAGCAGAAATAATGAATTTAACCACTTAGAGAGCCACAGCCTGCATTTATGCACAGTGCACAGCTGTAGCTTCATTATTGGCTTAAATCTCCAGACATGTATAAAAGATTGATTTCCCTTAATTCTGAATAGTCCCATACAGACAGTTGGGGCTAATAAAGGCTGGAGTTTAGGGTAAAATAATAGCCTACTCTTTAAAAAAGGAGAATTTGACTCAAATTTAGACAATAGAAACTCGAATGAGGTTTTCTTAAAGGGTTATTCCGGTGTAAAATTAAGTTAGGGTCAAACACACCGTAACAACCAGTTAGACACCCCTGCGAAAGATGAATGTTGCCGAACGCTTGCTTCTCTCGTCATACCAACTTTGGTAACGACCACACGATAGCAATACACAGCGGTCTAGGTCTCCACATGCAAACCTGGTCTTCATCAACATTACATATAGGGTCTAACCATAGTCCCTGATGAGTTGATCACCGAGTGCAGCGGGGTTTCACAGCTCAAGGAAGAACATTTATTATTATTACTTCATGGAAATGCAATCAGACCGAGACGCTAAGGCAGAAGAACTACTGCGCCTGCAGTGCAAAATGATTAATATGATGATTATTAATTCATGGAAATAAACTGCTGCACTTGGTGATCAACTCATCAAGGCTCCCCCACAAACAAGCGGCTGCTGGAGGAGAGTGGGTGAGTTGTGTTAGTCTCTTTATTAAAGAAATCAGGCAAAGCTAAAAAGATGTTTGGTGGCTAGTACTATGGCTGGGACCCTATATGTACTGTTGATGAAGTTAGGTGCTGTTCTGAGCATTATTTGTGGCTACAGAGTGGCGTTTTGGTTGAGTGTACGGGTGGAGTGAGGGACTGTTGTGTATTGCTATCCTGCGGTCGTTGCTGAAGTTGGTATAACTAGTGAAGCAAGCGGTCAGCAACATTTATCTCTCGCAGGGGTGTCTAACTCGGTGTTACGGTGTGTTTGACCATAACGCTGGAATATCCTTTTAAGGTGTAGTGACTAATCTACAACAAAATAACAGTTTTTGGCCACGTTTAAAAGCACCAGACTCAGATAGACAGAAACGTTGATGATTTCCTCTTCCTGCCATCCAAGCTCCGCCCATTCAATACCAAATTTCCCAGCTCCCTGTTGTCTTCCAAGCCTCCCCACATATATTAAAACCTTCCAACAGTCACAGCCACCTGGTTTATAGCCTCACTCCATCTTCACCACATGTCAGCACACACACAAACACACACACAAACACACACACACTCACAGCCATGCCCACTAATTTAGCCACACAGGCTGGACCCCAGAATCTAATCAGACCTTCCCACTGAATTCAACCTGTGCTCTGCTCGTCTGCTGCCAGCTCCTGTAACACACAAAAATACACACATACTTTCTCCACAAACCATAACTTCTGATCATAATCTATCTCTTCCCTTGCAGCATTGCCCTGGTATGTCACCCTCTGTCTTTTTCTCCAATTGCTCACTTTCTTAGCCCTCATTTTAAAGAATATCTTGAAATTGCACTCTTAAAAATCTCAGTTTTTCGGTTCACAGTTACCAAAAGTTTAGTCCGAAAGGCAACTGGGCTTGGTTTAGGTTCTCAAAGTTGTTTCATCTCTCATTAAGGCCTCAAATAGCGAGTGAACTGAACTTTTTACCTTTCTGCAAAACGTCTTCGAGAACTTGAAGCAAGTCCACTTTCCTCTTCAATTCAACTTTAAATCATTTCCTGCAAATGATATACTTAAAGGAACTTTTTTATTATTATACATTTCTATTTTTCCCCTTCAATGCAGCACTCTCTACATTTCCAGCAAGTCTGTGGTTATATCATAAATTATACATTAGATTCTCCTTCTTTTATTGAAGGCACTTGTGTTTGGCAGAGACAGCCAGAGATCTTTGAATTGTGTTTTTACTGCATCAAAGCAGATACATGATTAAAAAGTTGAATTAAGGGTTGCAATGACATACTTAATTTAGATGATTTTGTAGTTTATAGAATCCCAGGATTTGGTGTTTTTTTTTTTTAAAAAAGAGGTAACACACTCCACACAGTGTAAAGTTAGAAGTCAGTCATCGAGGGGATTTATCAAGTAGCTGACATCTATGAACCTCCACTACAGTAGCAACAGCCACAGGAGGCAGGAATCAAAGCTTGCCAATCTTTACGCCTGTCCCTGTCCCCGCCTCGCTGCTTCCCGCATATGTGGATAATTGGTCAAACGTAGGAGATTATATGGATTCACAGAAAATCAGCCTTTAAAGGTGATTCGGATGACCTGTTTGTCGCCTTTGAGCGCAGCCTGTAAAGTGTAAAATGTGAAGTGTGGCTTTGCCTGAGGCGTTACACAACAGCGTGTGTTCGTGTGTGTGTGTACAAATGCGTCTGAATAGGCGAGCGTGGAGGGGTTGAACCGCGCCTGCCTGCCTGCGTCCTCGTCTCTGGATTACAGATGCTCTTCTGATCTGCGTTTGTTTGTTCCTTTTTTTCATCCAGACTTGCTTGTGCTTTTGTTTCACGGATGAATAAATGTATGGACAGTGTCTCATGGGATACGCTTTATTACTTTTGCTTCATTGTGAAGCATAAACAGTTTGACAGCTTGGTTTCATTTCAGCTGGCTCTCTTCATCCTTATCTGACGTTAAAATGAAAAACAACTTCATTTATTGCCGACTTCCTGTCGACATTTGTGTCTTTTTAACTTGACGGTAGGACAGCTGAGAACTTACTCAGCCGAAAGCTTATAATCACAGGACTTTGTATTATTTTCTGCATAAGGTAGATGTGGCAATGTTGATTACAAAAACAAGTACTTAAACCAATGAAAATGGTTCAAATACTGAGTGAAGAAAGTGACTGATGCTCCAATACCAGCAACACATTTAAGGAAGAAATAACGCACTCATATATGTACCTCTCCCCTAATCAGAACACATCTGTTTTCTAACAGTTATAAGTTGGGATAAGTTGGGCAATATGGCCTCAAATCAATATCACGATACATTGAGCAGTTCACCTCGATAACGATAAATGGATAATAACTACTCCACAAGCTGCTCACCCCCTCCCACATTAACTTTGTCGACTTCAGCCACTACAACCTTTGAACCATCCTCCATCTCCTCATCTGTCTTTCCCTCTTTGTTACGGACTGGATGGGGTGGAGTCACGTCTCTGATGTAGGACAGCATCTTAAAGGGACATGAGACCATAGCCTATCTACATACATCCAAACCAACTTTCATTTATCTTCTCTTTGACACCGAATATACCAATATGGGCAAAATGACGTCAGTTATTGTCGTAAATTTTGGTATAAATTTTCTGTTTATTGCCCAGCCCTATAGTTAAGTATCAATTACCTTCTCAATACTGGTCTTGAACTCCGATAATGGTACTTCAAATTTTCCTTTGTGTGTGTCTATTACTCACATGCCAAATGCAAGAATTTTTAGGCAGCCAAGCTTGACTAGAAAAAAAAGTTAGTTCATTTTTCAAAAATTGTTGGATGAATAAAAGTTGAATAATTATAGGGAGTTTGTAAGACTCATAACTGGACTTCAAACTGATCAGAACATCATTAACTGTTTTAGACTGACTTTCATAAGCATAGATTAGCAGCTGTGTCAGAGACACCAACAACAACAACAACAACGTGGACGGTAGCATCCCCATCTAAACTGCTAATGGGCATTAACAGGCTGTTTATGTTGCGAAACACTGAGTGATTAATTGCAGACGTTGCACTGTGAGGTCAGAGTGACTGAATTCCATTTAGCACAGCTTCATCAAAGCCAGGGTCACCAGGTGTTCAGATGATGATGATGATGGGGATGAAGAGAGGAGGCACTGTGGAGGGTAATAACATCATCAAAGCTGCTTCCACCATTATTTGTGTTGGAGTTGTAATTGATAGGGGGAACTGATGTGTGCCTCCATATACGGACATATCTGGTTGTGTTTCAGTGCGTCAAAGGCGAGTGGGAATGTAAATGAGTGAGAAAGAGAGAGCTGTGTTTATTCCCAGGCTCAGGCAGAATACCAATATGCCTGAAAAGATATTGCGATGCAGAGCAGCATGTGCCGAGTTCCTCCTCTGAGCGGCTTCGCACACAAAGAGGAAATGAGATAAGTCACTGTAGAGTGAGAGGTAAAGCCAATATTATGCTGTTAGATTCCTCCTCATTGGGTTTTAGATGCTAACTATATGATGGTGGGTCGGTTATATTGGCTATTGAAAGAATATGATACGATCAGCACACATAAAAGCCCAAATAATGAGACCGGTACTGTCAAGAACAATTAAAACCAAGTGCACTAAAACTATAGTTTACAGCTCTACTGCATTGCTGCTGTTCAGAGGTGTAGAGAATACAGATTAGCTCCTAATGATTTTCTTTAGCGCCCACACATTAAAGGGTTACAGTGGCATGACACTCAGTTTGTAAACAGATAACATTTAATTTCCTTAAACGGCCTGAAATCCCTTCACTACAACTGCTGTGTTTGTGTGAGTGATGAAGTATCATTGGAAACCTAATCCACTTCCATTTGTCACTCAGTGGCACATCAGCATAATTATACTGAAATGATTTCAGTAAACAAAAACAGACAGCAGACAGGTGACAAATCAGAGGAATACCTGCCAAAAACAACATTCAGCTCGGGATGTTGCAGTAACCGGTGTTATGAATCAGCTGTATGATCGCAGACAATGCTAGTACTCAGCACGCGTGCTTCGTGGTGTGCCGTGCATATGTATACTGATACATATGAGTCCACAACAAGTCCTCCAATCCATATCAAAACACGCTCCCGCTGAAATTGGCACCTTGTTGGACCATCTTCATGATGCTAAAAGACAGCCTTTCCTCAAAAGCATCAGATACCGTCAAGGTGATTCACAGATTATGAATGGTACGCAATTTTCGATGGGCTAGCAAGAAATGACGTTCAAAAATACATGTCAAGCGGGGTCATGTCACGTCCAAAACACTGCCACAAATGGGATTAAATAATGTATTTTATCGCGATCATGTGCACGTAGATGTCTTCACAACTAAAGACATAGTGGCGAAGGTATAACACATTGGCTGCTCTTACGTTTGGATCTTTTTATTGTTTCATTTAGCGTGACAGCTGGGTGACACCGGTACCAGGTGGCACAGGCAGCAGCTGATTACGGTTCCTCCTGTAGTAGCGATGTACCGATCTCTGAAACAGGGATCTAAATTTGTAAATCAGTCCTCTCGAGATAAAGTAACGCTAAAGTAATCGCTCCATTGGGTCGTATTTCAGTGCATAAAAAACGACTTATTATTGGATTGGAGGACTTGCTGGACTCCGAGGTAGAGCCACGCAAGAAAAAAAACTTATTTTCAAGGTGTGGTGGCTTTTAGCTGTGGCGGTGCACCATGATCAATTGCATGTGTTAATCATCCCAACTTCATCCGAGTCTTCTGAAGTAGCCGCACAGGCGCACTGTGTGGCCTACAATTTACATTTAGAGATTCAAGTCAAATCAAAGCAGTAGCCAATAATCCAGAGCTACAGCCTCAGCTAGCAGGATGTGGCGTCACTACAGTTAAGACACTATATGACCTGCGTTTTGGGCCACAAGAGTTAAAGGTTGGATCATTTTTTCAGTATTTCTGTTGCTTGTCAACAAGCATAGGCATCCATCTTTAGTTTACAACTACTTGGACCCTATGAGCGGATAATAGAGCCTTAAAACACTCATCATGAGTCAAACTGTCAGGATAAAGAATATGATTCACAGGCTTAAATTATAGTTCATTATTCTTTCTTAGATTACAGAAAGGTGGTTGTCATACTCGGTGGAAATTCGAGATGTGACTTGCCACAAATACTGCAGTGCAGTCTACAACAACTCTCTATAGACAACGACTATTTCTGTGCTACTCTGTGTGGCTGTTCGCACCGGTGTTTGAGTATAGGAGAATCACTGCAGGTTCATTTACATAGTAAGGGAGCAATTCTGCTTGAAATGTATGCATAATGTCTTATTTACATGGTGGAAAAACACATGAGCAACATGACTGTTTTTGCTCTGCGGTGCAGTACGAGGCGTTTTTCATCCTTTGTATGTGCACAGAGAATTAGATAATGTCTTTTGACTCATTTTTGCTGGTTCAGTGGCAGCGGTACCTGATGAAAAATATTCATGACCAACATGCTGTGCTGTCTCTTGATGTGCCTCAAACAGGACATCACGATAGGATCTGAGAACCAAACTAGAGAGGAATTTTTTATAGGCGCCACCATTTACTCTAGGAGTCAAACATCCCGTCGTTATTTTGGTGTTCTGCTTTGTGTCTGCTCTCTCTCTGCTTTTC